TAATTTATTAAATAAAAATATCAAGTAATTTTTTATCTATTAATTAATTATTACAATTATTAATTATTTTTAATAATTAAATTAAATAAAATTAACATTTTAAAATATAATATTTAAAAATTTATGTAACCGTCATATTTTAATATAATATTTAAAAATTTATGTAACCATCATATTTTAATATATAGGCATAACCTTGCTCTTAGCAATAGTTCCTCAATTCTAAATGAGACATTGATCTTATCCTGCGACATGGTTAAAAAGGCCTATAAAGTTAGATACCAGCCGGCTTCCTGAGACTTCGAAAATAGAGGCAGAATCCACTCTTAAACCCTCATAGTTATCCTAAATTAACATGTGTTTTTTAACTAAAAATGATGTAGGTAAATTTTTATTTGGACAGTTTCGTAGTTCAACACTGTTGAAGTTCTCAGCTGCTTATACACTTGAAAATCCTGAGTATGTTTCCTCGAGAAAAACACTCCAACACTCAAGTCGGCAATACTCGATATTTTAGAGAGAGATGGTCTCAAGAAATAATTGTAGAGAGAGAAGCGTAGAGATTAATTACCTTTTTCGGAGGTAGTTGGGAGGTATTTATAGCCCCAAGTGCTGACATGCATCTGCACATGTAAGCCTCTCATAGGTCCACATGGTAATACCCACATGGGTATGTCTCCTCTTCTTGGGCCTGTGGGTGTGTAATTGGACCTGTTACAGGCGGCTCTAAGTGGGTGTTGGGCCTAATCCCAACAATTTCAAACTCCTTAAAAAATGTAAATTGTTGTTAATAAATGACCTAATTCATGTGATCTCAGGATATCTATTTTTTAACATCATTTTTTCATGACATGATCAAAGAAATTCTTGAGCTTAAATGGTAAAAATTTTATTAAAATAGTTTATTTTTAAAATTAAATAGTTTAATAATAAATTTTTATAAAAATATTTTCTACACTAAGATATTTACAATTCATTTCCATTTTCTACACTAAGATATTTACAATTATTCTTCAAAAAACTAAAAGTCTATAAAATTTAACATTAAAAATAAAAAATAGAGTATTAACGTATTATGAAATCAATTTTAAGAGCAGCCCATGATAAAAAAAAAAAATGATAGGATTACCCTGTTTCTACAAACAAAATGAAAATAGATAGCAACAACTAACAAAGAAAAGAGATAAATAAAGATATGAAGTTCACACTTTTTTTTTACTTAAATATGTTAATTTTATCATTTTTTAAATAACAATATCAATTTTTAATTTTTTTTATTTAAATATGTCAATTTTTAACATTTTCTATTTAAAGATATTAACTTTCAATTTTTTTTATTTAAGGATTAATTGGATAATAATATTAACATGACAAATGGATTTTTTAACTAAAATATTGATGTTTTCTCCAACTAACAAGACTAACGTGATTTTATCTCCAAGTCATAATGCAGAATCAGTTTAATTAAAATCACAATAAAATAAAGAATTTTGGAGCACCCTAGCTGAAACACAAGCAAAATCAGCATTAACATAGATTTACTTTCCTTTATTTAAAAATTATTATTTTTTATTTATTGATATATGTAACTTAAATAAATCGTTAAATAGAACATACCTTCTAAAATTTTGGCTTTTGCAGTCCTATACAAACAATTCGGCACGCTTTTTCTTATAGATTTCTTCCTCCATGTGTTGGTTATTTAAAACAAAGAAATGGAGAGAACCGAGAGGAAGATGAAAAACAGAGCATAAGCTAAAATGGAGAGAAGTATATGACTTCAACTCAACTTTTCTTATTAACAATCTCTCCTATTTATAGGAGAATACAATCTTTAAACAATTCAAAATTTAAACAACTTTCTACATTAAAAAACAATAAAAATACATTTAAAATTTGAAATGAGTAACAACTAATTTTTCTGTAGCCTTGCATACTTTGGCAACCCTGCAGCCACTTTGTAGCCTTTCATTTCAGCTGCATTTGTATTTTCATTTCATTTCAGCCTCACTTCATCAACATTTGTAGCATAGCTTGCTGCACTTTGCTGCTACCGTGCTTTGGTGCAGCTCTCCCTTCTTCATTTGCTGCCATTTTATGCAGCCTTTCATTTTCACTTGCTGCTAGTTGGCAGCTTGAACACCACAACTCCAACACTCCTCTTTGGTGTTAAAGCTGCAAAATCAAAACAGAAATTTTTATGCCTAAGCACCTGGAATCAGCCCTTTGCCGTCCATCTTGTGCTTGGTTTTCACCATTTTTTTTTTTCACAGCCATGTACCACCCTTCTCAAACAACCTCAGCTCTTCCTTCATTGCAACTTTCCTTCTTTGGGTTTTGCTGCCTCAAACAAATTTTGGAGGTTTTGCAACTTGCATTTTCTGAGTAAATAAAACAAGGGATTGGTACCTCAAATTTGCTACCTCGTCATTTTTTTTTTTTCATCTTCTACAGCTTCCTTGGGGTCATAGATCATATTCAACTTCTGGTGAACATGACTTGATGCATGCTCTGAGTTTTCTTCCTTTCTCAGGCAGCACCCTTGAGAGACATTCTTTTCCCCTTTGGATCGTTGGCTGTAGAATCCATCAACACCTTCTCTTTGTAGGTCCAGTTGGCCTCTTCACACCATCTCCTCACTATGCTTGATCTTGAGCTATAATGGGCCTACCATATGCCTTCATCACTTGCTGAGTGATTTGGCTAAAAAATGGAAGAGGGATTTCAAAATGAACCTACTGGAATCCATTTAGAAAGGTGGGTTTTGGTTATGCTTCGATTAACTCTCTCACAGTCCCTCAAAGATCAATAGGGCTTTGATACCATGTTCGGTTATTTCTCAAAGAAATGGAGAGAGACATTGAAGAGCTGAAATCCAATTTCCATTTCAATTTTCCAGCATTTGTACATAGAGAGTTTAAATTTTGAAATTCAAAAAATACAAGCTAAGGAGCTCTTTTACAACAATATTTTATCATCAAAATAATACACATAATCACATGGCTCCAACTAGAAATATGACTAGAAAAGGACACAAAACAGTTTGGTTAGTTTCAGTTTAACCAAACTGAACTTAGGCAGCTTGATGGCACTGATATACTGCTACTGCCACCTCAGTTGCTTCACGTAACTTCCATCACTCCTCCTTGACATCAAGGCTGCACATTCCAAGTTGTTCTCTTAATAGCTCGAACCTGGATTTTTGCAAACCCTTTGTAAAAATGTCAGTTATTTGCCCCTCGGAATTGTAGTAAACTAATTGAACTTCATTTTTGAATTTTTCTCCTAGAACCAGTGAATTATTAATAGCTTTGCAACTCTTCATAGCAAACTCCTCCTGCATTGTAATTCTCCCGACCTTCAATCTTGTAGCTTCTAACTAATTTGCAAGTTCTTCAATGACCATGTTACACCTTTCATAGATGTCAGCTTGTGTTCTGGTCCCTATATTAGCAAAAACATCATCAGATTCATCATCATTCTCAAAATTAAATATTGGTTCATCATTTGCTACAATAACTTGATTTGCAGCAACAATTTTCAAACTTTCCCAGTTCCAAGTTGCACTTTCATCAAATTCCTTGCTTTTGCTCACATCAACAACACTAGCCTTTGGACTAATTTCAATTTGTTTCCATTGAATAGGAAAACTCCTTTCATTCATTCCAACAGTAAACATTTTTGAACCAGATTCATCTTCTACTTCACATATTTTGTCATGAAAATGAAGGACATAACCATGTTCAATCAACTGACCCACACTTATCAAGCTATAGTTAATATTAGGCACAAATAGTACATCATGAATGTATTTGATACCTGTTTGTGTTTCAACAGCAGCTACTCCCTTGCCTTTGACCTCCATCAATTCTCCATTTCCTAGTCTGACTTTTGAATTGTATTTTTTGTCAAGGCTTTTGAATATGGCTGCATTTGGGGTCATGTGGTTTGTACAACCATTATCAATCAACCAAGAGTCGCTGCTTAAGATGGCTGCACTACAATCTCCAATCTTTGTAGCCATAAACAGATGCTCTTCCTCTTCAACAATTTCTGCAATTTTGGCTTGCTAAACCCGATCTAAACCTTCTTTGCAGACCCTTTCAACATGTCCAAATTGCATGCACTTTCTACACTGAACTCTAGGCCTAAACCAACAATATTTCTCAGAATGGCCTTTCTTTTTACAATGAGAGCAAGATGCATAGCTCTCCTTTTTGTTGTTTTGATACCCTTCCTTTTCTCAGTTTCTTTGATCACTAAGCTACTTGTTTTCATCATCTTTGGCTGCTGCTTTTTCTCTATCAGTTGCCAAATATGCTCCTTCAACATTGTTTTCAAGCCTTAAAGCCTTTCTTTGCTCCACGGCTTGCAAAGCATTGACTAATTCATTCAAGGAGAATTGAGACAGATCTTTGGAATCCTCCAAGGATGAGATCTTGTGCTCAAATTTCTCCAGTAGACTCACCAAAACCTTCTCAACTACTGCCTTATCAGATAGTTCTTCCCCTTGCAATCTTATCTTGTTTACCACCTTCGTCAGTCGGTTGGAGAACTCCTTCACCGTCTTTGTATCCTTCATTCTAATGAGCGCGAACTCTCTTTTCATATTGAGAACCTCCATATGTCTTGCCTTGTTATCACCTTGGAACTCCACTTTCAGCTTGTCCCAAGCCTCTTTGGTTGTCTCACAAGTCATGATTCTGTTGAAAATTTCATCGGTCACTGCTGAGTGAAGGCAGGTCAAGGCTTTGTATCTCTTTGCCACCTCCTCTGAGTGTCTCTTAATTTGAGCAAGAGTAGCATTTGGAGGAAGAGGAGCTGGTTGCCAATTGTCTCAACCACTTCCCAAAGTTTGAAAGCCCTTAGATATGCTTTCATCTTCATTGCCCAAACTGTGTAGTTTTGGCCAGCAAAAACAAGGGTCTTTGCGATGAAGCTGATGTTTGATTCCATTGCAATAAGGTTTAAGGTGTTTGGTGTATTTGGGTTTCACTCAAATCTCTCACAGTCCCTCAAGAACTCATGGCTCTGATACCATGTTGGTTTTTTAAAACAAAGAAATGGAGAGAACCAAGAGGAAGATGAAAAACAGAGCATAAGCTGAAATGGAGAGAAGTATATGACTTCAACTCAACTTTTCTCATTAACAATCTCTCCTATTTATAGGAGAATACAATCTT